TCTCTGTGTTAGGAAAGTCAGCTACTTCTCCTGCTCTTGAAAGTAGTCGGTGGGGCACACACTTTTAAAAAGGTGGCACTGGTCCTTTTTCACAGGGGATATGCAGCTGCTGTGGAGACCAGGGCCAGCCAGAGCTGCTCCACAAAATGCGCCAGACCTGAGCTCTTTTAGAGCTGAGTGCAGCTGATTTTTACTGGTTGGAAAATCTCACAAAATTCAGTGCCTCTGCTTTCCAAAGCCAAAAGCTATGGAGATTCATTTTCCCCATGCAGGCTCCCTGGTGTGATAGTCTGTTTCTTGCCCTTTCTCCACACTCCTAGTTCCCTCCGTCCTGTGGCCAGACCTGCAGGTTTTAACTCCCCATCCTATCTCTGCCCTTCTTACCCTCTTCAATGTGGCCTCTTCTCTACTTTTAGTTGTGAAGTTTGTTCTGCCAGTCTTTGGGTTGCTTTCTGTGTTATTTGCACTGATGTGGGTGTTATATAGTTCTGTCTGTGGGGATAAGGTGAGTTTAGGGTCCTCCTATTCTGTCATCTCTCCCAGATATTCCGATTTATGTCTTTTGATTGGGGAGTTTAATTTATTCACATTTAAAGTAGCTACTAATAGTGAAGAAATTATTTTTGCCATTTTTAATTTGTTTTCTCTATATCTTATAGCTCTTTTGTTCCTCATTTCCTTCTTTATTGCTTTCCTTTGTGTTTAGTTGATTTTTTGTAGTGACATACTTTAATTCCCTTTTATTTTCTATGTATATTCTATAGAAATTTTCATTGTGGTTACCATCAGAATTACACATGACATACTATAGTTATAACATAAATATACTATTGTTTTTTTTTAAGTTTTTATTTTAATTCCAGTTATTTAACATACTTGAATATACTATTGTTATAAAAATCTATTTTAAATGGATAACAACTTAACTTCAATTGCATAAAGTTTACTCCATTGCAGGTCTGCCCCCTCACTTTATTTTATTGATGTCACAAATTCTATCTTTTTATATTGCCTATCAATGAACATAAATTTAAATTAATTTTTATGCTCTAGGATTTTTAAATCCTATAAAAGAATCAAAAGTGGATTTATGGACCAAAATTAAAATAATATGGGGTTTTATAATTGTCCATGCATTTACATTTACTGGAGAACATTTTCATATCATTTTGAGTTATTGTCTATTGGCCTTTCACTTCAAATTGAAAGTCTCTCTTTATCATAATTTTTTGTAGGATAGCTCTAAAGGTAATGAACACCTTCACCTTTTGTTTCTCTGGGAATGTCTTAATTTCCTCCCTCATTTTTTTTTTTATAATTTTTTTTTTTTTTAGATTTTATTTATTTGAGAGAGACAGAGACAGTGAGATAGAGAGCACAAGTGGGGAGGAGAGGGAGAAGCAGGCTCCCCACAGAGCAGGGAGCCCGATGCAGGACTCGATCCCAGGACCCCGGGATCATGACCTGAGCCGAAGGCAGATGCTTAACCAACTGAGCCACCCAGGTGCCCTCCTCCCTCATTTTTGAAGGACAATTTTGCCAGAGGTAGAATTCTCACTTGGCAGTTTTTTGGTTTTTTTTTCACACCTTAAATTTATCATCCACTCTCTTCTGTCCTGCAAGATTTCTACTGAGAATTTCTGGTCCTAATTCCTGCTGACAAATACATAGAAGAAGGGAAGTCCAATGTATAGAGTATAAGCATCTTTCCTGCAGCTTCAGTTCTAGGCCTCAGTTTGCATTTTCCTCAAATACCCTGCACCAGAAGGCTTGGTCTGCCACAGGCATTTTTGATGGTGTCTATGTAAATAACTCAAAGAGCTAGTGTAAGCATAATATTCAGTTTACTATAAAAAAGGAGTATTTTCTCTACTTGTGAGATGTGGGTTCTTCAATTAACTGACATAACATAAAAAAAACTAAAATAAATAAACCAATACCAAACAAAAAAAAATTTGGCACAAAACATTACTAGTCTCAAAGTTTCTTTCTAAATCCTGGGCTTCCTCACTGCTAAATATAAGACATAGGATTAAGGTGGCAAATGCCTACCAAACACACAACTTAACTGCAGATAGTTTAAATGTTTTATCCCTATTCATCACACATATATAAGATAGACACTATACTTCTCATATAAAGAAAACTGTGGATTCAAACTTTATGATTGAATATTGAGTCAAGGTTACTCAGTAATAGATAGGATTTGTACTTGGGTTTTTCAACTGCCAGAGCTCTTTCCACTGAGTCAGACTGAAGAAGATTAGTTAATAAAGGAGAAAATAATAATGAATAAATCGCTCCCTTTTCTTTTTTTCTTTTTAAAGATTTATTTGAGAGAGAGAGAGTATGAGCAAGGGGAGGGGCAGAGGGAGAGGGAAACAAGCAGACTGCCAGCTAAGCAGGGAGCCTGACACTGGGCTTGATCCCAGGACCCTGAGATCATGATCTGAGCCAAAACCAAGAGGTGGACGCTCAACCAACTGAGCCATGCAGGTGCTCCTCCCCCTTTTCTTTAAAAGCCTCCAATGTCTCTCAAATATCTCTGATGGAAAGAACAAATTTTTACCATATAATTTAAGGCAGTGTCCCATCCTGTTTCAACTTCATTCCCCAGAGTTCTCTCTCCTGCTCTAAAAAAATGAGTTCTGGAGACCTAACACACAGGATAGTTATTATAGTCGACAATACTGTTTTATAAACTTTAAAGCTGCTAGGAGACTAGATTTTAATTGTTCTCACAAGAAGAAGAAGAAAAGAAGAAGAAGAAGAAGAAGAAGAAGAAGAAGAAGAAGAAGAAGAAGAAGAAGAAGAAGAAGAAGAAGAAAAGGGAGGAGGAGGAGGAAGATATTTAAGTGATGTGATAGAGGTGTTAGCTAATACTGCATTGGTAATCATATTGCAATATGTTAATGTACCAAATCAACATGTTGCTCACCTTAAATTTACACAATGTTATATGTCAATTATATCTCAATTACAAAAACATATTTGCATCCTGTCCTCTTAAGTTTCCTTAAACCTGGCTGCCCTTGAGACTCATCTGGGAGCTTTTACAATGTACTAATGCCCAGGATGAATCTACTAACAATCAATTCACAATTTTGACTGCAGGACAGGATTTTCATACTCTTGAAGTTTCCCATGTAATTCTAGTATGCTTGTAGTTTTTTTTTTTTTAATATTAAATGCTTAGGTCATTAATTATCTAATTATCATTCCCAAACTTTTCTTTTTCCTGCTTGATCCTCTTGTCCTTTTTCCACTCACTTGCTTGGAAAGCTTTCACATACCTTCTTTATCTTAGGATCTGTGATGCTTCCCCATACCTCTGGGGATCAAGTTGTCCTCAAATTTTCTGTTTAGGAAGATCTATTGAGAAGTATGTGTGACCTACTTTACAGCCCCAAAGAAGGACAAGAATATCTCTGTGTCTTATCTGCCTTGGGCCATCAATCTTACCCCATCAATCTCCTCAACAGCAGACAAATAAAAAAAACTTATCTGGAAGGAGATGGCTGAGGAGGAAATGTGAACAAGGTAGCCATAGTCTCCAGAGCTGTTGACACCACTCCCTATTGTCTCTCTGTGTCAGGTGGGTCATGTGGGAGATCTAGGGAGGTGGCCCTGGTATGTAGCACTGCTATGAAGATTGCTCCAGGTCTGTCATTCCAGAGATATCTGTTCCTATTTCCTGAGGAAAATAACTGAGATTCAAATGTGTAGTTTTTAAAAAATGCAGCCAGGCTTTTTCTGAGCTGACTATAAGTTGGGAGAATAATCTCAGTCCTCCCATTTTGTTAATCGATATTTTGGAGGGCTTTCTTGTATATCTTTTGGGGGTGGGGGACTTCCAAGTGATGAGACTTTATGTTTTACTGAATCATAGGGTTGTAGGAAGGTAAAAGGGAATAGTAATCTAGGAAGTTGGAACAATTCCTTTAGAAGTAAGAAACATTTGAAAACTGGGTCTTTAGGGAATCCAATTTAGCATGTATCAATGTTACAAACGTTCTTAAAGGTTTCTCTCACAGACTTGATAAAATGTCCCTCTTGTCATCAAGAATCAAAGTTTTTTCATCATTGCCTTCTTATTTCCTTATTATTCTGGTTAGTAAATTTTTATTCCTGAGTGAAACACTACATATCCTAGGAAAAAAATGCAGGAAGCAACTGTTATAATTTTGGAAAAGAGAAAATGATTTTATGGAGTTTGGAATTCATAAACCAGTAAAATGAAACAGGCACAGCTTTAAATTACTTTCATTATTCTCATTTTCCACATTAGAGAAGTTGCAATGGAATGGTAGATTACAGTAGGCAGTAGTTTTTAGGTCTTTGTTCATATGTAACTCAAGAACTTCAACTAAATTCTTTTTCCTTTCTGGGCCCAGATTTCATGATTACTAAGTGCAAACTGTAGGAAGAATGATGTCTTCTAGGTCTGACATTCCTTGACAATCTGATTTGTTGTTTGCCAGCTCTGAGTCTACTAAGTTAAGGCTTTGTGTAGAGGAGAATTCATTGATTCTTTTTTTTCTAACAACTTATCTACTGATGAAGCTCAAGGTTGTCCATGAATTTAAGAATAAGGTAGTTATGAGGTATCAGTTGGAGCCCCCAAAATAGGGCAAAGTACTGCTTAATTTTTCCTACTTAAGTAAATGCATGCAAAGCATTTTCTTCCTTGACACTAGGATAGCTCCTTTAAAAATTTATATAAAAAATAATATCTTCAAGCAGAGTATGAGGTGTTATTAAGAAATAGCATACACACTGATTTTCCACATAGCTAGATTAATTTGGAAATTAAATTTTTAAAAGATTTGTCTCATTATAAGTTTTTTTTAACTACTGCCACAAAATTCTCATTTATTATGTGCAATGAGTAGGCAATTTATGTCAATTTCTGTTGCAAATAGATTTCGATGCCTCTTACCAAACTATGTTTTTTGTTTGTTTGTTTGTTTTTAACTTTTTCTTCTCTGCTTTGGTTGCAGAAAATGGATTTGTAAAACCATCCAAGAACAAGGTTTCAGTAAGTTATTACTGATTGATTTGGAAGTAAAAAAGATAAAATTTTAACCTTATTTTATTGAAAAATTTAACACTAAATTTACCAAATATACAACAGAATGAGGTTTCAAAATTTAAAAATATTTATATTTTTATTATACTAAATTCAAGAAATATAATCTAGCCAGCAATACAAAACCATTTGCCACTACCTACCTTATTATATAAGATGATAAAATGCATATTCTTCTATCCCAAGATTCTATTCATTGGCAATAAGATGCTATTGTGAACAAGAATCTGAGAAAGAGGACACCTGGGTGGCTCAGTCGGTTAAGTGTCTGCCTTTGGCTCAGGTCATGATCCTGGGGTCCTAGGATTAAGTCCCACATCGGGCTCCCTGCTCAGCGGGGAGCCTGTTTCTCCCTCTGCCTCTGCTGATCCCCCTCCTTGTGCTCTCTCACTCTCTCTCTGTCAAATAAATAAATAAAATCTTTTTTAAAAAAAGAATCTGAGAAAGAGAAAAGCGTGTTGGAGTAAAATTATACATCCTCATAAAACAAGTTAAAAAAATGAACTACCAAATGATCAATTTAATGTTAAAAAATAATGACTTCCATATATTCACATAGTAGAATATTACATTGAGATGAAAATAAATGAACTATAGTTCTAAACAATATCAGCATATATATAAGATCACAAAGGAATGTAAAGAGCAAGTCATATAAGAATATATGTAGTACTGTTTTCTTTGTATAAATTACTAAGATACCCTAAACATATATATGAATACATGTATAAATTTGAAATGTATAAATATTGACAGTTAGTGAATATATTTATTGATATGTGGTGAAATTACAGAGGAATGCAGGAAATAATCAACAGAAAATTCAGTTTGGTGATTTCCTCTGGTGAAGGGGGTTGAAGGAGATGTGATCTGCTAGGGAAGATCATGAGTGTGGGTATGGATTTGCGACATAATAAAAATACTTATGCCAATTACTTGGCCTTTATCTTAGTAGAGGGTTTATATATTTAAAGAAATGGTAATTTTTAAAACTTTCTCCTGGGTTGTATGTACACAGATATTTGTCTTTGTACCTATATATTGATTATATTTACCCTATTGTGTATGTATGACATTTCATATAAAAATGAATATTATTCAAATGTTCATTATTCAGTAAACTTATGTTGTCTTTCTGTTTTACAGTCAATATGTGAAGTGTATGATAATCCGGCACAAATTTGCACCAGAGAATATTATCCAGTCTGTGCAACCAATGGCTAAACTTATTGGAATAAATGTGTTTTCTGCCTTGCCGTGATGTAAGACTGCAGTAGCAAATGTGTGCTTTCTAAGTAATGAATTGCCAATTACAAAATCTTAGTACATCTATGTTGCTGATACTCTAAATACAGAATACACAGAAAATAACTAATATTTCTGTAAAAGTCAAGGAAACACACTTGTATCATTCCTTGAAATTCTTATTTCTAAAAGTTTCATGTTTGAGCTCTCAGACCATAATCATGCTGTTCTACAAACATATAAATCAATTAATTTAACTGACTATGAATTACTAATGACAGATGCGCAACCAATATGACATAATTCCAAAGCTCTGATGCTATTCAGTAGATCTCTGCTATACTCTAAAATCCATCAAATGAGCCTACTCATGCTGGAAAGAAACCCTCTGATGGTCAGGTTTGTCCCCTAAACTTCATGAGGACCTTTCAAACCTTCCTCAGACTGCAGAGCATTCTAGTACACTTCCACCAAAACTTTCTTCCCTTTCTCCTTTACCCTGAAGGAATTTGTGGTCTAATGGCTCTGCCAAGCTTTCCTGCCTTGTCCACATTTTTTTTCTCATATTTACAATCCCAACAGTCACCTGTTTCTCAAGAACCGCTCTCACAATCCCTAATCCTTTCCTTTCTCAGGCAAGAGCTGGTTTCCAGCCTGAAGGCAGGGTTGAGCAAGTAGGAGGGGTCAATATCCTCAGAGCAGGGGTGCCTGGATGGCTCAGTAGGTTAAGCCTCAACTCCTGATTTCGGCTCAGGTCATGATCTCAGGGTCATGATCTCAGGGTCATGATCTCAGGGTCATGAGACTGAGTCCCACATTGGGCTCAGTGCTGGGCATGGAGCCTGCTTGGGATTCTCTCTCTCTCCCTCTCCCTCTGCCCCCCACCGCCACCCCCCACCCTGTGCATACTCTCTTGCTCTCTCTCTTAAAAAAAAAAATCCCCATAGCAAAGATCGGCCGGCTTAGGAGCAGGTGGGGCCCAGAAGTTTCTAGAAGTGAAGCACAGTGTCTCCCTGGAGTCCACGTTCCAGACTTCTTCATGAAGAAGCATCTTGTGCATTTCTCAGGAGTTTAATGTGTTCTTTTAATTATTTCTTTTTTCTTTCTCTTCCTTTCTACAGAGAAAATGGTAACAAATGTAAATTGTCTCATTTTGGTAAATGCTGACTTTTGATGGAGTTATATTTTTGTGGGGATTTTATTGTAATCCCATTTTGCAGTGGCTTCTACAGACAATTAGAGTTTGTAAATGGAATCATTTCTCTAATTTCTCTTTCCACAGTTGCATTGTTAGTGTGTAAGAAAGCAACTGATTTCTGTGCATTGATTTTGTATCCTGCCACATTACTGAATTGCTGTGTGAGTTCTAGTAATTTGGGGGTGGAGTCTTTTGGGTTTTCCACATGAAGTATCATGTCATCTGCAAAAAGAGAGAGTTTGACTTCTTCTTTGCCAATTTGAATACTTTTATTTCTTTTTGTTGTCTGATTGCTGTTGCTAGGACTTCTAGTACTATGTTGAACAATAGTGGCGAGAGTGGGCATCTTTGACGTGTTCCTGATCTTAAAGGAAAGGCTCTCAGCTTTTCCCCATTGCGGATGATATTCGCTGTGTGTTTTTTGTAGATGGATTTTATGAACTTGAGGAATGTTTCCTCTATCCCTATACTCTGAAAAGTTTTAATCAGGAAAGGATGCTGTATTTTGTCAAATGCTTTTTCTGCCTCAACTGAGAGGACCATATGGTTCTTCTCTCTCCTCTTATTAATGTGTTCTGTCACATTGATTGATTTGTGAATGTTGAACCACCCTTGTATCCCAGGGATAAATCCCACTTGGTCGTAGTGGATGGTCCTTTTAATGTATTGTTGGATCCTATTAGCTAGGATTTTGTTGAGAATTTTGGAATCCATATTCATCAGGAATATCGGTATGAAATTCTCCTTTTTGATGGGGTCTTTGCCTGGTTTGGGGATTAAGGTAATGCTGGCCTTATAGAATGAGTCTGAAAGCTTTCTTTCTGTTTCTTTTTTTTGAAACAGCTTCAGGAGAATATGTATTATTTCTTCTTTGAATGTTTGGTAGAATTCCCCAGGGAATCCATCAGGCCCTGGACTCTTGTTTTTTGGGAGGTTTTTGATCACTGCTTCAGTCTCTTTACTGGTTATTGGCCTATTCAGGTTGTCAATTTCTTCCTGTTTCAGTCTTGGTAGTTTATAGGTTTCCCGGAAGGCATCCATTTCTTCCAGGTTGCTTAATTTATTGGCATATAGTTGTTGATAATAATTTCTAATAATTGTTTCTATTTCCTTGGTGTTAGTCTTCATCTCTTCCCTTTCATTCATAATTTTATTAATTTGAGTCCTTTCTCTTTTCTTTTGGATAAGTCTGGCCAGTGGTTTATTGATCTTATTAATTCTTTCAAAGAACCAACTTCTAGTTTCATTGATCTGATCTATTGTGTTTCTGGTTTCTAATTCATTGATCTTTGCTCTAATCTTAATTATTTCTCTTCTAATGCATGGCTTAGGCATCGTTTGTTGCTTTTTCACTAGTTCTTTAAGACGTAAAATTAGTTGGTGAATTCAGGAGTTTTCTGTTTTTTTGAGTGAGGCTTGGATGGCTATGTGTTTCCTCCTTAGGACTGCCTTTGCAGTATCCCATAGGTTTTGGACTGATGTGCTTTCGTTCTCATTGGTTTCCATGAATTGTTTAAGTTCTTCTTTGATTTCCTGGTTGACCCAAACATTCTTGAACAGAGTGGTCTTTAGCTTCCAAGTGTTTGAATTTCTGCCAAATTTTTTTCTTATGATTGAGTTCCAGCTTTAAAGCATTATGGTCTGAGAATATGCAGAGAATAATCTCAATCTTTTGGTATCAGTTGAGACCTGATTTGTGACCCATTATGTGGTCTATTCTGGAGAAAGTTCCATGTGTGTTTGAGAAGAATGAGCATTCTGTTGTTTTAGGGTGGAATGTTCTGTATATATCTATGAGGTCCATCTGGCCCAGTGTGTCCGCTCTTCTTTCTTTGTTGATTTTCTGCTTAGATGATCTGTCTATTGCTGAGAGTGGAGTATTGAGGTCTCCTACAATTAACATATTATTATCAATATGACTCTTTATTTTGGTTAACAGTTGGCTTATGTAGTTGGCTGCTCCCATGTTGGGGGTGTAGATATTTACTATTGTTAGATCTTCCTGCTGAATAGACCCTTTAAGAATGATATAGTGTCCTTCTGTGTCTCTAATTACAGTCTTTAGTTTAAAATCTAATTTGTCTGATATAAGAATTGCTACCCCAGCTTTCTTTTGAGGTTCATTGGCATGGAAGATGGATCTCCGTCCCTACACTCAGTCTGGATGTATCTTTAGATTCAAAATGAGTCTCTTGTAGACAGCATATGGATGGGTCCTGTCTTTTTATCCAATCTGCAGCCCTGTGCCATTTTTATGGGAGCATTTAGGCTATTCAAGTTGAGAGTTATTATTGAAAGATATGAATTTATTGTCATCATGTCCTTGTTTCAATAGATTGTCTCTGTAAATTTCTGTTCTGTATAACTCTTGGTGTCTTTCTCCTTTTATAGAACCCCCCCCCCCTTAATATTTCTTGCAGGGCCGGCTTAATGGTCACATATTCTTTCAGTTTCTGCTGGTCTTGGAAGCTCTGCATCTCTCCATCAATTCTAAATGACAGCTTTGTCGGATAAAGTATTCTTGGCTGCATGTTCTTCTAATTTAGTACCCTGAATATGTCTTGCCAGGCCGTTCTGGCTTGCCAGGTCTCTGTGGATAGGTCTGACATTTTTCTGATGTTCCTCCCTCTGTACGTAAGGAATCTCTTCCCCCTAATTGCCCTTAAGATGGTTTCCTTGGTTCTAAGATTTGCGAGCTTTACTATTACATGCCAGGGCATTGGTCTATTTTCCTTGATCTTGGGAGAGATCCTCTCTGCCTCCAGGACACAAATGTTTGTTTCATTCCCCAGATTAGGGAAGTTCACAGCTATGATTTGCTCAAATATATCTTCTAGTCCTCTCTCTCTCTCCACCCCCTCAGGGATCCCAATAATTCTGACATTGGAACATTTCATGGTGTCACTTATTTCTCTAATTCTGTTTTCATGGATTTTGAGCTGTTTCTCCCTGGCCTCCTCTTTTTCCTTCTTTTCTATCAAATGGTCTTCTAGATCACTAATTTGTTCTTCCGCCTTGTTTACCCTAGCTGTTAGAGTATCTAGATTAGACTGGATCTCATTGATAGCATTTTTAAGTTCTGCCAGTTCAGCTTTCATTTCTGCCCTTAGAGATTCTATGCTGCCTTTAATCAATTTCTCCATTCTAGCTATTGTCTTCATAACTATTACCCTGAAGTCCATTTCCAACATCTTGGTTGTATCTGTAACCATTTGTAAATCTGTAGCAGAAGTCACAGTCTCTGAGTCTTCCCTATTTTGGGGGTTCCTCCTCTTAGTCATTCTTTTTTTTTTTAAATTAATTATTTATTTTTTATTCTTATGTTAATCCCCATACATTACATCATTAGTTTTAGATGAAGTGTTCCATGATCCATTGTTTGTGCAGAACACCCAGTGCTCCATGCAGAATGTGCCCTCCTCAATACCCACCACCAGGCTAACCCATCCTCCCACCCCCCTCCCCTCTAGAACCCTGTTTGTTTTTCAGAGTCCATCGTCTCTCATGGTTCGTCTACCCCTCCGATTTCCCCCGCTTCATTCTTCCCCTCCCGCTACCTTCTTCTTCTTCTTTTTTTTTTTCTTAACATATATTGCATTATTTGTTTCAGAGGTACAGATCTGAGAGTCAACAGTCTTGCACAATTCACAGCGCTTACCAGAGCACATACCCTCCCCAGTGTCTATCACGCACTCACCCCATCCCTCCCACACCACCCCCCACTCCAGCAACCCTCAGTTTGTTTCCTACAATTAAGAATTCCTCATATCAGTGAGATCATATGATACATGTCTTTCTCTGTTTGACTTATTTCACTCAACATAATACCCTCCAGTTCCATCCACGTCGTTGCAAATGGCAAGATCTCATTCCTTTTGATGGCTGCATAATATTCCATTGTATATAT